TTTGTTACATTTTCCTCCTCTCCCCCTCACCGAGGGGAGGACTGAGCGAGCAAAATCGTGGTGGTTGAGCTGCCGCTGGGCTGAACCACGTCACCATCACAAACCATTCTATGATTCTATTAAGATCTGCACAAATAGGACAATGTGAGGTTTATGAGATTATTATCATAAAATATGATCATAATAAGTGTAATTAAAAATATTTTATGGTCAAAAAGAATTAAAAATATCTGAAAACAGTCTTTAAATTTTGTAGAATTTCAAATTCTCTCTTACTTTTTAGGACAAAAAAAAAAGTTCAGTTAGAGGATAACAAGACTGGGTTGTAAAGATCCCTGAATATCATTATATGACTACATACCATCATTGTTTTCTGTTTCTTCCTCTGCTTCTTCGAGAGTCTGTTAAGATAAGAATTAAAAATTATCTCTTTTCTAGAAAACAAGCAAAACAAACTAGTACAATTTCTGCATCAGGTACCAAGTTATATTTTTGCTTATCCTTTTAACATGATATTAGGGAGACAGTAGAGCCAAATACAAAATTAATATCTGAATTCGAAAATAACAGTTCTCCTAAACTACTCATTGCATTTAGTAAATCATTTATTCTGCTCAGACTGAACTTGAAGATACTAGTGAGATAGCTGGTATTATGCTTTCGCCATTCAAAAAACCGAAGTCGTGTGACTTACTTAATCAATTCTCATTTTAAGCACGCTCATTTTCTATGTATGCCAGCATTCAACTGTCCAAAAATTACCAAAGAAGTCTCAAAACAATGAACAATGGCCCTGTGCAAGTTCCCCTGTTTGAAAAATAACAATCACTACTCTTCCTTAACATGTAACTTCAAGAAACAGAGAAAATATGAGATTATCATCCTACAACATTTGAATCCAGTCTCAGTAATGCATGCATTTTACTGGAACTCTGATGCTAAGAGAAATTTTTAATTGCACAATACTGTGAGTTCCAACACAACTCTAAATCATCAGACGCTCCCTCTGAGGGCCTCCACGACTTATTAAACCATTAGTCACGATAAAATTAAAACCAATTTAAAGTACTTCTGCTTGGGCAGGTCTTCTGTTTCTTCCTCCTCTTTGGTATGTATTCCATTTGCATCACCCGAAGACACAGGAAATTTCTGTTCTTCCTCTTCCAGCTGCTGTCGTAACAGTGCTACCATCTCTCGATGCTTCTTTGATTTTTCGTGATTCTTCATGCTGTGAAGACCAGCAGATTGTAGCTCTGAGCAAACACTGTTATATTTACATATAAATTAATAACAGGCTCTATACCCATCATTACTAAGTATGGAAAATTCTGCCCTGACAATGTCTCTACTGGAAAGACAACACTGACCGTTATGTGAAGTTAAAAAGTCTTTAAAATGTGTTTTTTAAAAAGTTAAAACCCAACTCCCCCACTCCCAAATCCCCAACCACAAGCACTTACGCTTTCTCAGTTTTTAACAATTTGTCACAAGCAGGGCAGTACAGACCATCAACAAATTCAGCTTCTTCAGTCTCATCATTCAGTTTGTCTGAAGAGATCAGTGGGGATCAGAGAGACAAAGTCAGATGAGCGATTTTTGAGTAAGCTGCCCTTAAAGCCCCAGGAAATGGTCACAACCCTGACATTCAACTTCATTAGTATTATTGACACACAGACAGATCAAGGCCATCTCACCAAATCATACATTAGCATAAATTAGCAGCTGTAGCTTGATGTCTTCTCATGTCCAGTGGAAAACACCAGAGAGGGCCAGACTCTAGCCTGGCATGCCTCAGCTGGAGGCAAGGAGTTGCTCTACAGTCAGAAGTGTGAATTTGGGGCTTTAAGTGCAGTGAGTCAATACTCAGGCTGCAACGACTCACTACGGATCATCTCCACACACCCCATACCTTCAATGCCCTTTGCCTCCTGTTCTTCTAATTCATCTTCATCACCTGATCCATCTCCAAATTCCTTCTCATATTGTGCCTCCATCTCTTGCAATTCTCTCTCCAGATCTGACATAGCTATCCAGCTCTGCTCTTTATACTGCTCAGCAAGCCTTTAAGTAGAGTAATACAGTCACTTCCACATTGCGTTTACGAGATGGCAATTACAGAAACAGTACTATTTAAAAGATAACTTGTTCTTCTCTGGTATTTTAGGAGGAAAGTCTTGAACATATCACGATAAGTAAAATAATTGTTTGTAGGGCCTGGAAATCTCAGCAGTTAATTTGAGATGTCAGTGGGCACACCTACACTGCAAATAAAGAGTTATTAACA